ACCCAAGGAGGAACATATTAATGCACATCATATTTAAATTACCCAACATTAAAGAGGAGAGAATCTTAAAGGCAGCAAAAGAAGAGAGTTAGCTACAAAGGATTTCCCATAAGACCATCAGCTGATTTCTCAAAAGAAAACTTGCAGGCAAGAAGGGGTTGGAAAGAATAATTCCAAATCATGAAAGGCAAGGACCTACATCCAGTATTACTCTATCCAGCAAAGCTGTCTTTTAGAATGGAAGGACAGATAAAGTGTTTCTCAGATAAGGTCAAGTTAAAGGAGTTCATCATCACCAAGCCCTTATTATAAGGAATGTTAAAGAGACTTATCCAAGAAAAAGAAGAACAAAACTATGAACAATAAAATGACAACAAACACAAGTATCAATACCTGAACCAACAAAAACAAACTGAACAAACAGAACAGGAACAGAATCACAGAAATGGAGATCACATGGAGGGTTATCAGTGGGGCAGGGGAGAATGGGGGAAAAGGTACAGGGAATAAAAAGCATAAATGGTAGGTAGAAAATAGACAGGGGGAGGTTAAGAATAGTATAGGAACTGTAGAAACCAAAGAACTTAAATGTACAACCCATGGGCATGAACTAAGGGGGTTAAGGGAAAGCTGTAGGGAATGGGGGTACCAGGCAGAGGGGTATAAATGGAAGAAAAAGACTAGGACAACTGTAATGCATCAATCAATAAAATATACTAAAAAAAGGAAAAGATGATATCCATAGGAATGATCTAGTAGAGGAGGAAAACTTGATGATGTAGAATAGAAGAGATAATTTTGGAGTGAAATCTCAGAGAAAAGGAGCTAGGTCCAAATTTTTCAAGTCTGTGCTTTTGTGTTTTTGTACCACCCCTTATATTTTTCAGTTTGTTTTGGGTTTTATTTTTTTAATGTTTTATTCTTTATGCTATTATAGTTGTCCCAGTTTTGCCCCCTTCAGTCGCCTCCATCCAGCTTGTCCTGCACTTCCATAGTCAATCCCTATACTGTTGACCATGTCCATGGGTCCTTCATATATGCTCCTTGACTAATGCCTTCACCTTCCTGCAAACAGTCCCCATCTCCCTCCTCCCCTCTTATTACAGCTGCCAGTCTATTCCATGATCCTATTGCCTCTGGCTCCATTTTTCTCATTAGTTTATTTGATTCATTAGATTTTTGTCATAAGTGAGATCATGTGGTATTTGTCTTTTACCAACTGGCTTATTTCACTTAGCTTAGTAGTCTCCAGATCCATCCATGCTGTCACAAAAGGTAGGAATTCCTTCTTTTTTTTTCTGCTGTGTTACTACATATTTCCATTGTGTAAATATACCATAGTTTTTTAATCCACTTATCTACTGATGGACATTTAGGCTATTTCCAATTCTTGGCTATTGTAAATAACACTGCTATGAACATAGAAGTGCATAAATTCTTTTGAATTGGTGTTTTGGGTTTCTTAGGTTATATTCCCAGCAGTGGAATTATAGGGTCAAAAGGTAGTTCCACTTTTAATTTTTTGAGAAAATTCCATACTGTTTTCCCCAGTAGCTGCACCAGTTTGCATTCCTGCCAACAGTGCACTAGGGTTCCCTTTTCTCCACATCCTCACCAGCACTTGTTTGTTGGTTTATTAATGATGGCCATTTTGGCAGGTGTGAGGTGATACCTCATTGTGGTTTTAATTTGCATCTCTCTGATGGCTAATGATGTTGAGCATCTTTTCATATGTCCTCCTTGGAGAAGTGTCTGTTCAGGTCCGTTGCCCATTTTTTATTGGATTGTTTGTCTTTCTGGTGTTGAGTTGTGTGAGTTCTTTATATATTTTGGAGATCAAACCCTTGTCTGATATATCATTGGAGATATGTTCTCCCATACAGTCAGTTCCTTCTCCTTTTGATGATGGTTTCTTTAGCCATGCAGAAGCTTTTTAATTTGATGTAGTCCCATTTGTTTATTTTTTCTTTTATTTCCCTTGCCCTACGTTGGGTGTGTCCAACTCATTTTCACTGGGGGCCACATCAGCCTTGCGGTTGCCTTCAAAGGGCCAAATGTAATTTTAGGACTGTATAAATGTAACTACTCCTTAACTGTTAAGGAGTTGAAATTACATTCGTTGAAAGTAAAAACAGTCTCATCAATAAATGGTGTTGAGAGAACTGATTTGTACATGCAAAAAAATGAACGTAGACCACCAAGTTACACCATACACCAGAATAAACTCAAAGTGGATAAAAGTCTTAACTATAAGTTGTGACACCATAAAAGTCCTAGTGGAAAATATAGACAGTAAAATTTCAGATATCTCACATAGCAATGTTTTTGCCAGAGTATCTCCTAGGACATTCATTATATGCTTATGCCCCCTTTGTCAAATACGAATTGACCATAGAGACACGGGTTTATTTTTGGGCTCTCTGTTCTGTTCCATTGATCCATGTGTCTGTTCTTCTACAAGGACCAGACTGTACCACCCCTTTCAAAAAGATTAGTGAAAGAGACTTTTCTTTATAATCAGGCCTTGCAGTCAGTTTAATTAAACAGGTATTCACTTACCTATTCACTCACTCAGTCAATAAATATTCAATTTGCCTTTTATGTATCAGGCACTGTGTTAGGCTCTGAGAACGAAATTATAACAACACAGACATGATGCATACACTCACGAAGCTTATAGGTTAGTGGGGGTGGTGGGTGGGAGTGCTTCAGGCCAAGGACTTTGAAGGAGAAGTACAGGATTGTATGGGAGCATATAATAGGGAACTTAGGCTTTTAACCCTATTTTGATATAATAAAGCAGGGACATTTAAGATGTTCCCAAAGAATGAGTTAGCCAGACAAATTCTGGGAAGCATTCCTAGAGAGAAAATCATAGTTGAATGCCGTATTGCAGCAAGGAACTTACAGAGGCTTAGGAATTGAAAGAAGACTAGAGCATAATGAATGAAAGATGAGATGAACTTTGGAGGGATGGTAGGTACCAAATAGTACAGAATCGTAAGAATTTTAGACTACCCTGAGAGTACTGGGGAAGTACTGAAGGGACTTAAGCAGAGTAATGACAGAATCCATCTTTGTAGTATTTTTGTTATAAAGGTGTAGACACAAAGCTGGAGCCTGATGTGATTAAACTTTAGAATCATAAAATTAACTCTCCTTTTTCAAATTATTTGTTTACTTAGCCATTGAGCATTAAGAATGGCTTCCTCAGTGAGACATAGATGGAAGTTGCCTTGGAATTAATAAAACGGTTTTCTGTTGTGTGTTTATGTGAAAAGATGTAGAGTAGAGAGAAAGAGATGTTGGGAGGAGGTGTGGACAGGAGAGATACCTGGTAGTCAAGATATTATTTTTAAAATTTGACATAGCAATGAGAAATTAGCTAAATCTACTTAGAATGTTAATAATTTATGTGTGAGGAAGTATTAGTAATTCTTAAATTGCTATCTTTTACATTGGACTATTTTTGAGTTATTCTAAGAAATTATGATAGATTTATTTAAGGATTTGTTTCAACCCATAAATTCTTTATTTAATGTAAATAAGATTGTTAGTCTGTTCTTATTTCTTTTCTCAACATAACTGTCAGAATGCACTATTCTAATTATGTTATTGACTTCTTTAGAAGATTGACTTCTTTAGAACAGCTAATAACATTGACTGTTCTTAATTACTGTCTCAATCTGATCGCTATCAACTTCAACTGGTCTACTCTACTGTGGAGCATCATCCAGCGAGAAATCTTCAGCATGAAACTTCGAAAACTACTTTTGACACATTCAATCAGTCACAGTACCTTCACCATACACTGCACAAATCTTTTTTTGGCATTGCATTTGTGTTTTTACCTTTCTCTAAGTAATAAAGCATAATATAATGAAAATGTTGCTTATTTTCTTTCATCTTCAATATTAAATTGGCTGCACAAATATTCACCAATTTTGACGTTTTTTTAAAATGCCCACTGATGTGACAGCTGTCACAATACAGTCTAATATAATTGTTTCAATGAAGTTAAAGATAACTGTTACTAGAGCCATCTTACTGAAAAAAATGTAACACACTTTTTGGCCAACTCAATAATAAACACCTAACACTATATCTTGCACATAGTTGGCACTCAAAAATATCTTCAGTGAATCAATATATCTGATAGTTATATTTTTTAAATTTTATTTTTCAATTACAGTTCATAATCAATATCACTTTGTGTTAGTGTCAGGTGTGCAACCTAGTGGTTAGACAATCGTATACTTTGCAAAGTGTTCCCCCCGATAGTTTCCCTCTCTGTACTTCACATCCTCGTGACTCTTTTATAACTACTAATTTGTACTTCTCACCCCGTCACTTTTTTCACTCAGTCTCCCAACCCCACTCCTTCTGGCAACCATCAGTCAGTCCTTTGTATTTTCAATTTTGTTTGTTTATTTATTTTGTTCATTAGATTCCACATATAAGTGAAATCATGGTATTAGTCTGTCTCTGTCTGACTTATTTCACTTCGCATAATACCTTTAGATTTATCCATACTGTTGCAAATGGTAAGATTTCACTTTTTTTTGCTACAATGTTCTTAATTACACCTGGTAAAATTTCCTTCCTTAATTCTTTCCCTTCACACAAAACATATTGACTTTATTTGATATTCATTTTTCCTAGGCTTAATAGTCTTCAGTGTTCTACTCTGAGTATTATTATTTTGCTGTTTTCCCTTACTCAAAATCTCTTTTTAAGGTTTAATTGTCCTCAGTTTTTTTCTTGAGATTCATGTTCTTGCTTTTTTGTATTCTAAACCTTTGTTTGCCCATTTTCTCTTGGAAAATGTCTTTTTTCCTTTTCTCATTTGACCTAACTTAATTTATGTTGAAAACAACTTTTGAGCCTGTGTATGATTTTGTGTTTTGCAGTCTTTTAATTGCAGTTTTCCCATCCTGAAGAACTATTGAATTGTTACTATGCATTTGATAAATATAATTTTATGTATTCTATGTTTTTAGTCTATTGAAGACAATGAAGTATATTTGCCTAATGATGAAATTTGGACCTATGATATTGATAGTGGGTTGTGGTAAGTAATTTTAAATTGCAGAATGTTGAGTCTCAATATATGTTATAAATATTTTCATAGATTTGGGAATTTATAGCCCTGCTTAGAACATACTGCAATATCTATTTCTCCCTTTCATTTTCTTTCAGTGCTTTCATTTTCTTTCAATGTCTTATTCTCTCTGGCTCTTTGTTTCCCCTACTCCCTTCCTCTCTCCACTATTTGTCCTTTACCATTCCTCACAATTCTAAGGCTGTCTCTGAAGGCTTTGTTCTGTTAATGAATTCCCAATTCTGGTGACACATGTGAAGATTTTGTAATTTTCCAGTACATCGAAAAACCTGTATGGTGGATCTTAGAATTTTTGCAGTATTGGCTACCATTATATTTTAATTATAATTGTCAGTGACAATTTTCATTTAAAAAGGACTCATAGAGTTCAAAGGGAATTTTAATTTGCCTTTCTGGAAAGTTATGAAATTCCATGTTATTCTTGCTGCAGGACAATGCACCTCATGGAAGGAGAACTCCCTACCTCCATGTCAGGAAGTTGTGGTGCTTGCATTAATGGAAAGATGTACATTTTTGGAGGATATGATGACAAAGGATACAGCAATCGAGTAATGTTTTCTTTCAATTCAGGAGTGCAGCAAAATGTGTAATATTTAGTGTATCACTTCATCTCACAAGTTTACAAATATTTTGAAAAGAAGATATATGTAGAAAATCTTGTGTTTATGATTATAAGGTTTTAGAGTGAAAATGAAGTAGTGCTTTTTTTCCATGTCTTTCTGTTACAGAATTAACTACATACCTAATTGATATCTATAAGGCAAGAGAATGATGGGAAAAGATCTATTTCAGTATGTTTTATATATCATTTTTTGCTTCTAAACCAGTCTCACTTTCATTAGCTCCACAGTTAAAATTTTACTTGTTAAAAAGAAAAAAGCAGTATTATTAACTTTTGGATCACATAATCTTCAGATATAAATTTCATTTTCAAGTGCCCTGTCTGTTAATGGTGCTCTCTTTTTTTTTAAAGCTTTATTTTGTTAATTTGCGAACCAGAGATGGAACCTATATTTGGGAAAAAATCACCAAGTTTGAAGGAAAACCACCCACACCACGTGATAAACTTTCTTGCTGGGTATATAAAGACAGGTAAAGCATCAAAATCATCTCACTAACCACACTTAGATGAGGACTGTAATTTGAGGCCAAAATCAAGAAAACTTGAGAGTCTGATTTGTTTCAACATATAATTACATACTTTTTTTTTAAAATCCTCACCTGAGGAGGTGCTGTTTTATTGCTTTAGAGAGTGAAGGGGGATGTGGGGTGGGGAAGGGGGTGAGAGAGAGAGAGGGAGAAAGAAACATTGATTTGAGAGACAAACATCACCTCTGAAATATTGATTGGCTTAGGTGTCTCAGCCTACCAAACCCACAACCTAGGTATGTGCCCTGACCAGAATAAACCCTGCAGCCCCTCAGCATCTGGGAGGATGCTCCACCCAACTGAGCCACATGGGCCAGGGCCAAACTTGTTTTCATGCTAATGGTAACAGCAGTTTTAAACCCTGGAAAAGATAAGTAATAAAAATAAACACGTGGAAGCAACTATTAATTAAAAATAAATTAATTTTTTAAAAAACAAATAGTTAATTTATAGTTTAATAGCTTATTAATTTATTTATTAAAATTTTGAATACATTCACAGGATTCATACCATATTTTAAAATATTGCAGTGAAAGCTTTGGCTCCCACTCTTATCCCTGCTCCCCCATGCACAAATAGCTACTTCTCTTTATATCTGTTGTATTCTTATGGTACTGGTTTCCAAAATTGTGTGTCATTGGAATCATCTGAGGATCTTTTAAAAATTCTAAAGCCCTGGTGATACCCCAGAATAATTAAATCACAGTGTCTGGGAGTATGATTATTTTGAAGTTCCTCAGGTGATAGCAAGATGCAGACAAGTTTGGAAACCACTGAAGTCAGTGTTACTTTATGCAAATAGAAGCAAATATGTATGTGTGCATATGTATTCCTCTTTTTGTCCCTCCTCCTCACATGAATATCAGTGTACTCTCTGTACACTGTGTGCACCCTGCTACTTCTTTTAGTTAAAAGTGAAATGGAGGTCTTTCATCTTTCTGTATCCCTAGTTAGAAAGCTTGTTCTTCGTGCATTTTTTTTTTTTTGCACTTTCGTAGTGTTCTCCTCTGTGAATATATATACCATTGTTTGTTTAACCTTTACCCTGTAGGTTGTTTCAAGTCCTTTACTGTTACAAATTATGCCTTAATGGATATCTTTGTGTGTGTGTGTGTGTGTGTGTGTGTGTGTGTACACATGCCAGATAGATCTAGTGAGTGAAATTCCAGAATTAGATGTCTGGGTCAAAAGGTAATGCATTTGTAATTTTGTAGATGCTTAGTTTGTTATGGCTACTGTAGCAAAGAACCATAAACTGAGTGGCTTCAACAACAGATATATATTGTCTCACAGTTCTGGAGGCTGGAAGTCTGAGATCAAAGTGTCAGCAGGGTTGATTCTTTCTCTGGGTTTTGAGGAAGAATCTATTCCATGCCTGTCCCTTAATTTCTGGTGATTATTGGCAGCCTTTGGTGTTCCTGGGCATGTAGAATGCTCTCCTGTCTGCTTCACTTTTTCCCTGTGTGCACTTGTCTGTCTCATCTTAACTTGATTGCCTCTGTAAAGATCTTATTTTCAAATAAGGTCACATTCCGAGATATTGGGGAATAGTACTTTAACATACAAATTTTGGGAGGACACAATTCAACCCATAAGAATAAATTTTGCAAATTTTTCCTCCATAGAGGTTGTGTTGTTTTGTATTTCAACAATGGAATGCTTATTTCTCCACAGTCTTGCCAAGAGTTTGCGAACAAATTTAGATTTTTTGTTTGTTTTGCTAACTGAGAAGTGATGTTTCAGTGATATTTTGATTTTCATTGAAAACATATTTTTGTGAGCTTGAATGTATTTTCATATGCTTAAGGGACATTTTTATTTCTTTTTCTCTGGGCTGTTTGATCATGTCCTTCACCAATTATTTTCTATTGTTGGCATTTATAATCTCAGTTCCGAGGAGTTTCTGTAGTTATGTGTTAAAGAGATTAGTGTTTGTGTGATATGAATTTTTTTCCAGTTTGTCACCATCTTTTGACTTTATTTAAAAGTGTGCTCTGCATGCATTAAACACCTTTTCAAAACTGTGATTTAGATAAACTTATCAATAATTTATTTTGTGGCTTCTTGCTTTTGAGCCTTGATTGCAAAGGCTTTTTCCACTCTAAGATTATAATCTAATTCTCCCACATTTTCTTCTAGTGCATTTTAAATTTAATTTTTACATTTAAATCATTAATTCATTTTGGGACTTATCCTGTGAATGGTGTGAGATATGGATTCAGGTTTATCTTTTTTGAATGACTCTTATCTCTAACTCAATTATTTCAGATTCTACTTTTATTATGTATTTACTAATTTTTTTGATATTTGGATCTACTTTTAGGTTTTATTCTATTTTGTTTATTTTCTCTCTGTTAATGCACAAATACTTCATTAGTTTAGAGATTGAAGCATTACAGAACATTTTTATTGAACTAGTACACTTAAATAATTATCACAAAGTGAGCACACTTATATAATTACTACCCAAATAAACAGAATATTATCAACACTCTAGAAACCCTCCTATGTCCACTACTGACCACTATGCTCAGAATACTTTCCAGAGGAAACCATTATCCTAATGTCTAACATCCTGTATTATTTATTCTTTTTTTATTTTTTGTGTCATATATGGAATCCTACAGAATGTATTCTTTTACCCATATTATATTTTTGAGATTCATCCATGATGTTTTGTCTACTTGTAGTTTTATTTCTTTCCTATATGTTATTCTATTAAGTACAATACTACATAGTATATTTATTCATTCTACTATTGTCAGATATTTAGGTCATTTTTACTTTTTAACTCTTGGGAGTAATATCAATATTCTTCTATGTGTTTTGGTACATAAAGATATACATTTCTATTGGGTATATCTCTCTTCATTCTCTTAATGGTTGAATCTGATTTTAATATAGTATTATTTACCAATCTTTTCTTTATGATTAGTGCTTTTGTGCCCTAGCAACTTTTCATTTGCCAAGGTCCTGAGATGTTCTTATGTTATCTTTTAAAATATTCATTATTTTATTTTACCCATTCCTATCCACAGTCCACCTGGAATTGTTTTTTGTGATATGAGGTAAAGGTCAGGCTTTTTAGAAATCCTTACCTGAGGGTATGTTTATTGATTTTAGAGAGTAGAAGGAGGATAGAGAGAGAGAGATTGATGTGAGAAATATTGATCAGTAGCCTCCTGTATGTGTACCCTGACTGGGATTGAACCCACAACCTAGGTATTTGCCCTGATTGGCAGTTGAACCTGCAACCTTTCAGTGTAGGGCTGACACTCCAACCAACTGAGCCACCTGGCCAGGGGAAGGGTCAGGTTTTATTTTTCCATCTGGATAACCAACTGAATAACCATTTGATCCAGCAGCATTGATTGCCATGATCATACTTTCTCCTTTGCTCTGCAGTACCACTTTCGCTACAAATTAAGTGTCCATATGTAGAAAGGTGTATTTACTGACTGGATATCAAACCCACAACCTTGGCATATCAGGACAAGGCCCTAACCAACTGAGCTACCAGGCCAGGGCTAATTCGTATTTTTTATACATTTGTATTTCAGATATAAATCTTGCCTGGTTGTAACAAGTATTTCAACATACTGTTGATTTCTGCTAGCAGACGTATAGAATTTTTTAGGAAGAGTGATGGATAACTTTGTCAATTTGTTTCTGGATGTTAATTTTTTGTCATAACAGTTTGGAAAAAGCATTATAGGAACTGAAGCTTAAAATAAAACTGAACTCTGAGCTGTGGGTAGGCTTGCATGAAGGAAGTATCTTTGTGAACAATTAGGAGAAATGAAGTATGTTTCTGTAAGCCACTACGCCAGGGGTTTCTACTTTTGTTTTTCCAGGACTTAATTGACCCCAAATCTACAAAGTATTTTTGGTTCCTTAAAGTTTTTCTAGTTTGTGTATATAAGAAACTGGTGACGGTGGTTGTGTAGGCAGGAGAATTGAGTGAGAGTAGGAGGGAGATTTACTTTTTACTGTACCTTTTTTAAAAAGTTGTGGTAAATATATATATAATATAAAATTTGCAATTTTAATCATATTTAAGTGTACAATGCAGTGGCATTAATTACATTCACAGTCCTGTTCAACCATCATCATTATCTGGTTCTAAAACTTTCTATCACTCTAAATGAGAAACTTTTTTCTATCTTTTTTTTAAAAGATTTTATTTATTTATTTTTAGAGAGGGAAGGGAGGGAGATAGAGAGAGAGAGAGAGAAATATCAATGTGTGGTTGCTGGGGGTTATGGCCCGAAACCCAGGCACGTACCCTGGCTAGGAATCGAACCTGCGACACTTTGGTTTGCAGCCCGCTCTCAATCCACTGAGCTACTCCAGCCAGGTAAATGAGAAACTTTATGGTAGTTGTTATCCCTAGGTATCTGTGGAGGGCAAAATCTGCCAGTGCTCAAGTCCCTTATAAAAAAATGGTGTATTTGTATGTAACTTATGCATATCCTTTATATACTTTAAATCATTTGTACAGTACTTAAAATATCTAATACAGTGTATATGCTATGTAAATAATTGTTATACTGTATTGGATAGGAATAATGATAAGAAAAAAAGTTTGCACTGTCTGGTACAGATGCAACCATTATAGGCCTAACTACACAGCACACATCAGTGGTTTTAATATTTTCAAATATTTTTGATCCACAGTTGGTTGAATTCACAGATGCAGAACTGCCAAATATGGAGGGCCAACTGCACCCATTAAGCAATACCCCTCCATTTCCCCTTCTCCCCAACCCCTGGTAACTTTTACTTTCTATGTCCATGAAGTTGCCTATTATAGATATTTCATATAGGTGGAATGATCCAATATTTGTTCTTTGGTATCTGGCTTAATTTCACTTAACAAAATGTTTTCAAAGTTTACTATGCTGTAGTATGTATCAGAACTTCATTCCTGTTATAAATTGGAA